TGGTTTCAGCAGGTTACATTCTGTCACCTCCCGCTCTCTATGATCTGGAACATTGTGTTTCAATATAGCTTAACACTCAAACTGCTGTGATTGTATAGTTTTTAGGTGTTCTGTTGTGTCAGATGATGGCAATTTATTCACTCCGCCAGATAACCTGAGGTGAACAGCAATTTCACTATCAAATCACTTTTTACTGCTTGAGATGTCATCTGACAACATAAACATCTGTAAAGATCAATGACAACACTTCTGTTGTGTGATTGGCTTCAATGTGAGTGATCACACAGATCTGATGCCAACATAAACACTATTACAAACACCTGTAATCTCTGCTGTGATGCATCATCGTTTTGAAAAAGCCTTGTTTTCTTCATCTGCATTACAATTAAATCAATTTGTTTTGGGTTGATGTTTATTGAGAATTGTGCGGACTTATTCTGTGTGATCTTACAAGTCAATACAAAAAAAGCCCCATTATACCCCAGGTCAGACAACTGCTGTAAATATTGGGAAACTAGCTGGCCAAAACAGCAGCAATACAAAAAAACAACAACAAACAAACAAACCCAAAACAACGAACCTCTGAATAGACACCGGATGCTTGTAAAAGATGTCTTTCTGAGACTTAACAAACACTGACTGTCCTATCCAGCATCTCACATCCAGACACAGCCAGAGCCTCTTAATTTTCAGACTTTGCATTAGTCCCAACCATTGACTTGAGTTAGTACTGAGATACTTTTACTTTTTTTCCTCTTCCTTTGAAACAGTTCCTGCAAATCAAGGCGTGGGTTTGGTTTTAAGCTTTCTGCCTCAACCTAATCCTTCAAAATCCTGTCCAAGTACAGAGGCAGCCAGCGACGCCACAGCAACACTACAGCGCCAGGGTCTGCATCATTAGGTACCCAAGCTGTCTGACAAATTAACTGTCAAATGAGAATGGGGATTTTATGTATATACTACTTAACACTTAAAGGACCAGTGTGTAAGATTGCACGGGATCTATTGGCAGAATATGGCAGAAAGGGAATATAGTATGTTTTCATTAGTGTATAATCACCTGAAAGGAGGATGGTTGTCTTTTTGATCGCTTAGAATGAGCCCTTTATAGACGGGGGGCCACAGAGTCCGCCATGTTGCACTGCCATGTTTCACTGCCATGTTACTACAGTAGTAGGAGGCAAGGGATATTCAATTGGTTGCATTCTGCAACTACACTGTTAGATGCCACTACAGTCCTACAGGCTGGTCCTTTTCCACACATAGAGAGGGGACTATGCTGTTCTTAATGTGGGCAGCAGGGAGGATGTGTCAACCTGTACAACTACTTTACCACAGCATGCAGGGATGGTGCTACTGAAGCTTTTATAACAGAGGGTGTACCTCTACTAAAGAGTGGTGTTCAGTGGATCAGATGAGAGAGACACAACATTTAAAATCAAAATCAACACAATACATATACACAAATACTGAATACTATATCTGATCACATATTACTATCCTGCTGTTTGTATACTGAGAGATTTACAGGTTTGTCCATTTACAATAAAACTGAATTTGTGCTGGACTGGGTCATTTCCCTATACAAATCAAGAGCAGTCTGGCATGCACTCTCACCAGGATAATGGCTTCACTATGTTAGGTGCCTACAGTACTACACATTGAGAACCACATCCCCATTAAATGGCAATTTAAAATTTAACAAGTTGGATTAGTAAATGAAGAACCAATTTCAACACTTGTGACTTAAATGTTAGTGTTGTTTTTGCACCCGCTCATCGGTCTAAACCTACACTTGCAAAGTCAGCCTGATAAACACAGAACAGTGTCACTGCAACTCACCTCATACTATCCTCCAGCTCACCCGCAGTCTTTTTCACAGCATTTCTGACTGAAGACCAAAAGCTGATGATTGATAATACAGAAGCATGCCAAAAAAGTCTTAGCTCAATCTCCCTCTCTGCGTGTGCGCCTGTGAAAACAATGCAACAGAAGCGCAGCCAGCAGGCCAGCTTTGCTGCAAACTGTCAACAGAACAATAGAGCTGAGCACATCACTCCAGCAGTCTGCTTAGGAACGTTATTACAGCAGCCTTTCTGTCAGGACACCTAGAAAGAGTGGCTGACTGGCCCCGCGGGGCTGTCTGTGGGTCGGTGTGAGCATCTGCGCGTTTGTGCTGTAACATCGTCACAAGTTAGACTTTGATGCAAGCTTTGATACTACAATCACAAAGGCTACTGTGTCAACATAGTGTATTATCTTACGTTAACATCTGAAAGGAAGAGGGCAAATCATGCATTGCCTAACGATATCACATCACTCAGACAGTACTCATAGTGTGTAAGTGGGCTACTTCTACCCCCCACCCCACCAAACAAGAAACCCCAGGCAATTTATCGCAAAGACAACGTGAGATTTTAATATGCTACTTTTCCAAAACAAAAAATCACTCTAGACTAGTTCATCTTGGCTTATCTATTTTACACATATCACCCAACAGCAAGTTTATTTGCATGTGTAACACTTAATATATAGTCAATACTGTGATTACAATGTCTTTAATTACCACAGGTCACATAACCATTACTTTCCCTGGTTCTGCTTTATATGTATATAAACATATAGATAACCCTACAAAACTAACGTTAACTGAAATGATGGCAACTTCTGACAACCAACAAGTTTGGAGTCACAAACACCATAAAGAACAGCAACAACATCCATCTGACTGTTCATCTTAATTGTAGCCATCACCTTTGAACGTCTGAAGGATCGTCTTTGACCAACCATTAGCTGCTTACCCAACTAGCGAACACTTAGCTTCACGGCGTACTGAAATGTTCCTCGTCTTCCTGATCAAACATCCATTAATAATTAACACAAACTAGGCCCAATCCAACTATGCTGCTAGTAACTTCACACACTTTACCAAGTTTATTAATGGGTCGTTGCACATAGTAAACAACGCCGCGATCAGCTAACGAGCTTGCTAACTGAATAGCACAACTTACCTGCATAATAACATGACAGCCCATGCTAGCAAGCTAACAAGATAAAAAAAAAAACTGAACGCTACATTTTCACTAACATGCTTACCTTAGCAGCGTTAATCTCCACAGACAGCCTTATGAACTGTCGATGACAAGTGTTTCCTCGCTGTATTTCACTCCAACCAGACCAGTCTGCCTGGTTAAATACAGGTGACACGAGTTAACTATCCGTGTCCACGTAGCTAAGCTAGCTCACTCACTCGCTGGCTAACATCGACATTAGCCAGCAGCTACTTTCTGTTATCAACCTTGTCTAGTGACGGCTGCTATCGAGGCTTGTGTGCCTGTCAGTTATCTGAACAAAGTCTAGCTGACTGTTCCCCCTGTTAGGACTCTGAGCAGTCGCTCTCCCACTATCTATTTAGAAGTGACACAAGCTTTTACGGTATGTTCTCGGGGATACCAAAATAATCAGTGTCAAAACGGCAGGAGGAAGAAGGCCATCTTGTTGACAAGCAGCTGCATAAGGCCCACAGCCAATAGCAGTGCAGAGTCGGTGGTGTGCCCATATATGGCGTCTGCACAGCTCCCTCCCTCTACTGCCCCCTGCCCCCCCCACCCGCACTCACTGGACCACACTGTACAATCGCAACATCAAAAGGTCACTGTGTCAGAGACAGGTGGGGAAACCCGTATACACCTGTAAGGCACATTTACACTCACAGTCACAGCAACAGTGCTTTGCTCACAGAGTATTACCATCTATTTCAATACACTATAGATTTATGCCTTCATATTTTTTCATCAACAATATCGCATATTTCAATATTTTTTGGCCTGATAATATAAACATTTTGTCATAATGTCATCATATACTCTACTTTTTTTCTTTTACTTTGTAAGTCCTGCTGTTTTTGGGACATTTTAACATCTCGGATATTCAGTCCCGCTGTTTATACTCTTCTTTCAATTCTATATTCAATTATTTTCTTCACGCTATTTCTATTTGCTGCAATGACCTAGTTCTCCAGCAGTGATCATTAAAGTTTAATTTTATTTTTTCCAAAACTGTAGGTGCTTCCGTGTTGGACAATAACTATATTTATTTTTTATTTTTTGCATCAGCTGTTCTTCACTCTTATGCAATACATACAAATAGTGCACATCAAAATAGATCTTTACATAGTCAGTGGTGGAGGTATGCAGTATGTGTGTCATAGTGGTCAGTATTTTGTACGTCTGCATTTCAGACAGGATGGAGAAAGCAGCACCTTCTCAGTCCAGCAGAGGGCCAGACACTACTACATTGTGTGTAGGCTATACACCGTACTGACATTCAAGTTCTCATAGTTAGATGTACTTAAGTACAAACATAAGTATTTATGTTACTTTTACTGAAACAACTTCTCAGTCTGTAGGGCTGGCCAATTTTCAGAGGACAAATATTGTGATTATCTGATAAATATCCTGTTTTTTTTCCCCAGATGAAATATTCCAAGCAAGTTGTAATTAAAACATAATTAGCTTTTTAACATTTGGTTCTCACAATAAGAGGAAAATATGCACAAACATGCTGCAGGATATATACTAGTGCTATATTAGTTGGTGTTGTGTAATATGATGTCTGTATTTCTGGTTTAAGTCTGTGTTTTCGTATTGCTGAGTTTTGAACATAATGTCTGAATTGTAGCTGAGATGTGTAACTGCACATTACCTGTTAGAAAACACCTGTCCAGTACTTCCCCTCTCTTGTTTGGTAACTGTACCTCGCTTCACGTGTATGTATGCGTCCTCCAAAAAGACAACACCCCCTTAACTCTCATTAGACCTTGTTCCTTTTTAGGCCCGCCTCATCTTTACTGTAACTGGACCAATGGTGCTGCTCTACCCGTCCATCATCTCTGTACTGCACTGCTATTGGCTAAAGGAATACACTGAGCTCTGGGTCCCGCCCACTTATTAAATCTCGGTCTGTGGTTGGTGCTCGGTCAAATCAGTCAAATTTTAACTTCCGGGTTGTGTACAGTTGCAAAACATCCAACCGGGTAGTTGTGGAAAAGGACAGTCTCCGAGAAAAACCCTGGATAACGCAACGCTAGGAAAAGTGAGTCACTTCATTTTTTAAAAGCAGGATGTTTCATTCAATAACGTATTTTAAGAAGGAAGAATATACCCTGTGTATAAGTGTTTGGTAGCTAAGCTTCAGTCACAAGCTGCCGACGTTACACAACATGGTTTTTACACTATGATACAGCAGCTAGCTCACGACCTCGTTCATGTAGTCGTGAGTATGTAATGTACTTGTTCCTATCTTTTATTATTTATGTGTGTTGTAAATTTGTATTTTCTAGACTGCAGGTCACTGTGGCACCGTTACTGTAGGCGACACGTGTTCATGACACCTTAGCCTGTTTTCTAACATGGGCATCCAGTCACACCCAAGGTTAAACCATCTTGCAGCAGGGTGTTTCTTATGGAAGCGAATCGTGACCAAAATTTAAATTGAAATGCTTTTTCATTTTAAGAATGTGGCTGCATTATTTGACTCATAAATAAAATTAATAATCAATCCTCCTGTTTGCATTTTGATTTTCTTCTTCAAGACTGCTCATTCTTTTACTTAATTAAAATGAAAAAGAAAAAGAAAAAGACATTTGAGATTTAATTTTCAAAATATGCCCCAGCAAATAGATACCAAAATTCAATTTGAAATGTAAAATTTGAAAATTTAAATGCATTTGCAGAAATGCTTTTCCATTTTAAGAATGTGGCTGCATTATCTGACTCGTAAATAAAATAAGTAATCAATCATCCTGTTTTCATTTGCATTTTCTTCTTAACTGCACATTTTATGCCATCATCAAAAAGAAAACAAAGAGGAGATTATCGTTATCGCCAAAATCCCAAAAAATATTGAGATATTATTTTTTGCCCATATCGCCCACCCCTAATAGGAGGTGGTCAGGACCAGTCCTTTGTGCCAGTAAGAAACTGGTCATGACCGCTGTGCCACTGGTTGCGACCAGTGTCTTTAGCGCACCTACCTAGTGGTTGTGACCACTGGTCCATGCCAGAGACCATGATCCCAGGACAGACCACAGAATCAGCTACATTGGAGTGTACATGTGAGGCCATCAAATGTACTCCAGGGAAAAGTTCAAGTAACTCTTTTCCGGGAGTTGGTTTTTAAATTATTTTGTGGAGTTAAAACTGTACATAAAAACAAGGGTGAATTCCATATAGCTAATGTTAATACATTAAATAATACAACCCTCTGACATACAAATGTGAATCACACATCAGGCACATGTCTTTGCTGTGAGTTGACACTGAAGGGCCTGCCTCAATAATTTGGGATGAAGTAGAGGGTGTTTCATCATTTAAGCACTGAGAATTATTGTGCTGTTGGCTGTCATGGCTAGAGGGGGTCTCAGGAGGCACACAGGTGTTATCACTAGAAACATGTATCTTAATCAAGTGTCTTCTAAATCCAGAATAACTTGAAAATTGCAAGCAACATCCTACTTGACCACATTTTAGTCTCAAATTTTTCCCAGGGTACATCCCAACAAAAGTAACACTGTACCAAAGGATGAAGCACAAAGGAAACATCTGAGCATTTTTGCTGGATAAGCTAATTACTGCTTGTTCAACAGCTTTGCTCTTAGCTCTTTGACTCTTGGAGTTTCTTCTGTTGTACCTATATCAATGTTGTACAGAGTAGTTTGCAAAAATGTGTACAGACTGGACAGAGCATCATCTTATTTCACACTGAAAACAAAGTGGGACTTATGAGTTTGACAACTCATCAAATGCACCCAAGGATGTACATGACTGATATGGAAGAAGCTTTCTATCCAAGACTATGTATAAGCTGGAAACCTTTGCTTTAGAGGTCCCTGAGGCCAGAAGATATGGCTGAGGGTTTCCTTCAGTGGTCATGAGGTGATCCTCCAGGCTCTGGCAGGACTGAAACACAAGGACAAGCATCTACATATAAGCCTTTAGTTTAAAAAATGTTGCCTGAACCACAATATTTGGAATTAGATCGTACTGTCTTCACAAACCTTTAGAAGTTTCACCAGATGATCTGTTGCCTCTATAACACTGATCACTGAAAAAAACAAACAATCCCCTTACCATCATCAGTGGAGATAACAAAACGCATTGCTTCTGTTGCAAGTTCTGGAAAGACATCCTCATCCACCTCTATGCCCTACTCATCTGCGATGTTTAGCACTTTATCTTCTGGTAGGAGAAACTTCTGCTGCACTGAAGCACAACATTCAACACATTATTAAATAATTATTTCCCCTTTAATGACATCAGACAAAACATAGGTACATCACCTACCTGCATTGATAAAATCTGAGAAGCTGATCTCTTCCAGTTTCACAAACTTCTTTGTCCTTCCTTGTTGTACCTTCAACAACATCTTGACCACTTGAGGGAAAAATAATAATTTAACCAGTAATAAAAGCAACATGTGGACTGTCACTCTAACAAAAGAGTCTTTGTAGTAGCTGTTAATGCTTAGCATAATATTGAGTGGTCCCAGTCATGTCTTTACAACGGAAATGACTGAGAGATAGCCTCTAAGCTTGTAAAAAAGTCTCTGACAAGTATCTAACACGTTCACTGACATCCAGAAGGACTCCGCCATTTACGTTACAACAGCCTCTCCAACAGGAGACAGAGTCACGGTGCAAGCTATCCGGCTGTTGTCTTAAGCAGAACTATATATATAACAACAACAACAACTACACAGACTGGTTGGTTGCTAACTGTGGCTAACAAGCAAACAATTTAAAGCTGAATGATTTTAATATTAACACAAAAGAAGTGCAATGCACCTTAAATATTTTACCCTGCTGTGAGCTGTTCCTTAACCAAACTAACAATTGGTTTAGAATTTACATTAGCACTCCTTCAGGTGCAGAATACAATTAAACACATTAACCAAAGCTAGCGATCAGCGTTAGCGCTCTTTTCAGTATTAATATAATGAAAGTTGAAGTTGTTCTCTTATTTTGCACAGATAGTGTTTACATTTGGAAAGCCATGTTGCATTTATGTATGCATCCAGTGGGGCATCACAATAAAATTAGACATAATGTGTTAATTCCACAATAGGAGATATGTTATGTTGTTACCTAACAACAGTTTTGGTGTAAAAAGCCTGCATATATCGGTATCAGGTGATATTGGAAATTGAGAGTTGGACAATATTGGGTATCGGCAGAAAAGCCAATATCGAGCATCCCTACTATCTATCTATCTATCTGGCTGGTCCCTTTCTCGGGTCAGTTACGGTCCTCCTGGCCGTGCCGAGTCAACTAAGGAGAAAAAACTTAACGTGTTCAGTATACATCAACAGAAGAAGAAACTAATGTTAACTTAAGATACACAAAGAAATATCAGTAATGACGAGTATGATGTTAATTCAATGCACTAAGTACAAACAAGTAAAATGAGCGGCACCATCAATTTATTTTAAGCGTGGTCCGACAAGTTCAAACATTAACTTTGACGGCTAATGTTAGCTAGCGAGTTTGGCCTCGCAAAGGTCTATGACAAAACATACAAATGTGCCGTAATTATACTGATAGAAGGCTAATATAACGGTAGTTTGAGGAGTAAAATCGCACTTTTACCTGGCTCAAGAGTCACGGTGAAGTCCAAGTGCAGACTGCTGAGAGGAGCGTGAATCAGACTCCTCAACACTCAGTGAATGAACACCCAAATATTACTCCGCCAAAGAGTTACCCTGAACACAAGCTGTAGTTAAATGGAGAGAATAAACTCCCAAAATCTAACACTTTACCACTTTTTTGTTTGACTCCAGATTTTTTAACTCCATGCGTCCATATATCAAATGTGCACACCGCCCTCTACCGGAGCTGAAGAAGAGCGGCTACTGTCGTCACTCTCCTGCGCCGCTCAGATTACCAAATCCTTTTTCGAATTGTGGGCACTATTTTGCGGGGCAGACCACGAAAACTAAATAGCAATCTCCTCTTTGTTTTCTTTTTGATGATGGCATAAAATGTGCAGTTAAGAAGAAAATGCAAATGAAAACAGGATGATTGATTACTTATTTTATTTACGAGTCAAATAATGCAGCCACATTCTTAAAATGAAAAAGCATTTCTGCAAATGCATTTTAATTAAAATTTTGGTCACGATTCGCTTCCATAGTTTTTGCCCCAAGAATGTTTACACTCATCTGTCATGTTAGAAATATATTCATGGATGTATTAAACATTTGCTTATTTCAGGTAAAAGAGTGTGGTGGGTGTGTCTGGTGCTTTACTTTTTAGTAGTCTTACACTGTGTAACTTGACTCCCTCCTCTCTCCACCTCTCTGTTTGAAGTGATGCTATCAGAAGTCCTGCAGGTGCTGCGTGGGGCCGGTAAAGTGGGGTCTGCCCTGGTCACCACCCAGGGTGAACAGCTCCGGTTAATGGCCTGCAACTCCACCCTGGGGTCAAAGGGTGGGGCTGGGATCAAAGTTGCTCAGGATGTGGTGGAAGGACTGATGGGCACCTTTATGGGCGGCAGCACTGCGGTAAGGATTCATGCATAAACCTTGAATCCATCTCTTTGGGCTCTGGGTACTTGTGATGGACATTATCTGTGCACAACTGAATAATTTAAAGAATAGTTGATAGAAAAAAAACAACAGTTAAATGCAAGTTGTATGCACATTAGGGATGTCCGATATTATCGGCCCTCCGATATTCACTAAAAAAATGTAATATCGGGAATTATCTGTATCGGGTTTTTATAACCGATGTTTGTTCTGTAGGCTTCAGCATTTCCGAGCCTGCATGAACGCAGCATGGGACGTTTACTGGCACGCGCTAGATGACGTATAACAACAACAACAACTACGCTAGACTGGTTGGTTGCTAACCGTGGCTAACAAGCAAACAATTTAAAGCTGAATGATTTTAATATTAACACAAAATAAGTGCAATGCACCTTAAATATTTTACCCTGCTGCTATGAGCTGTTCCTTAACCAAACTAACAATTGGCTTAGAATTTACATTAGCACTCCTTCAGGTGCAGAATACAATTAAACACATTAACCAAAGCTAACGATTAGCATTAGTGCTCTTTTCAGTATTCATACAATGAAAGTTGAAGTTGTTCTCTTATTTTGCACACACAGTGTTTACATTTGGAAAGCCATGTTGCATTTATGTATGCGTCCAGTGGGGCATCACAATAAAATTAGACATAATGTGTTAATTCCACAATAGGAGATATGTTATGTTGTTACCTAACAACAGTTTTGGTGTAAAAAGCCTATATATATCGGTATCGGGTGATATCGGTATCGGAAACTGAGAGTTGGACAACATCGGATATCGGCAGAAAAGCCAATATCGAGCATCCCTAATGCACATGTAGTAAATTTTGCCCAAATTACTTTGCTGTGTCTGTAGCAGCAGTCAATAAAAGAAGACGTGTTTCCGGATGCGGAGGGTTGGGAGAATATGGACCCTGATGAGGCAGCCAAATGGGCTGTGGGGTCAGAGTTCCCCCCTGAATCTCCAGAGCAAAGCCAGACAGAAGCTGGAGCTGCAGCAGAAAAGGCAACAGGTACTGTCAATATCAGATTGTTAACATCTACTGGAGGTGACGTACACCAAGTCTGTGGCACTAGAGGAGTTTTTTTGTATAAGAATACTTTCATGCTATTGGTCCTTTCCAGTGTTGGAACTATTTCAAAGACAATAGGAGAGAGTATACAAAAAAACTCACGTGTCACATTTTTGTCATATGTTTTTTTTTATTCATGCCACTATGTTAAAACTTCAGTCACATAATGGTTCTACCATGTTCATGTCATATATTTAATAGAACATTTCTCTTTTCTCTCTCTGCCACAGGAGTTCATCCTCCCGCAGGGGTAGCTCCTGCAGGAGCGGGCTGGCCCGGACAGAGTGCTCGCTTTCTCCACACGACCCAGTAATTTGATTTAATATATACGTTGTGCTCCACCGGTACTATTTTTCAGAAATATAATATAAATTTTTTTTCCATTTATTATAAAAACTGTGTTTTTTTTTAAATCATAATACAACAAAACTACCCAAATGACCCTGATCAAAAGTTTACATACCCAAGTTCTTACTACACACGGTGGTCGCCAGACTCACACCTGAGGACATCAATGATATTGAGGTCACAAACTACTAGGCCAACGACAGGTTTTTTTGGTTTTTTTTTTTGTTTGTTTTTTTTTTTGGAGGGTCAAATTCGTCCCATGCGCAGCTTCCGGGCTGATGAGTGCAAATTTTCCTCCTGTATTTCGCTGAATTTCTTTCAATGACCTGTCAGACAGAAGGTTGTGGCCAAAAGATCATTTTGGTCAAAGTTTTGAGGCTTGTCTCTGTGCTGTTTGGTGTATTGTAGCAGGATGCTTTGTGGCATTGCTGTAATGGCTTTCTTCTGGCGACGCACTCCATCTGCAGACTTAAGTTTGCATCTTGAAACAGCCACCTTTTTTAAATTTTAAAAAAAAAATTAAAAAAAATTTTTAAAATTTTCAGGGTATGTAAACCTTTGATCAGGGTCATTTGTGTAGTTTCTGTTGTCATTATGATTTAAAAAGATTAAACACAGTTGTTTGACAATAAATGGCTTCACCCAACCACTAACCATGAGTGAAAGAAAAGTTTTTCAGCTATCATTCATATTCTGAAAAATTGCCAAAAAAATCACAAATTCTGCCAGGGTATGTAAACTTATGAGCACAACTGTATATATTTATGTTACATTAATACAGGTGATGAGGTGCAATATGCATAACAAATGCCTTAGAAAGTGAGTCTTTAAATGGTGAAGTAATTATACATATCCAGAAATGATTAGTTGTCACAAACGCTTATTGACAAACAGAATTTGTTTAAAATCTTTTTTTACCAAGGCCAGATAATAATGCAGTTTTTCTCTGATGCACATATGTTGAGTAAATGTGCTGTAGTTATATATTCATAGTGGTATCTGCAGGAGATGAAACACAGACAGGTGCTAGGATCATATTTTGAGTTGAGTCATGTTGTGTAATGTGTGTCATATACAGTGTGTGGGTTTTTGTGATGTAATTCAAGGTCACTAGCTGAAGAGTTTTTTTTTTTGTTTAAACCACCATCAAATCCATCTTAAGAAACCATTTAAAATAAATATATTAATACATTTATTATATTAATTGTCTTTACTATCTGTCATCCCTCAGCTGAGTGACCGCGCCAAAGAGAGGAAGGTGCCTGCCACAAGAATCAGCAGGCTGGTTAATTTTGGGGGTAAGAACAATATATCTTTATAGTTTTTTGAGTGCATCATATTTGGCAACGCACAAGGTTAACACACTGTTGTCCAAGAGAGAATCATTCTCGTTCCACTCCAGGTTGCCACATGGCTCCAAGCACAGCAAGGCAAATAACTTTGTACATTAAAATGTTTTAGCTTAGGAAACACACAAGCTTACAGTCTGCAAGTACAGGAAGTACAGAGCATAGAGTCAGTCATAAAGGGACCATTTACAAGACAAAGGCTGTATTCAAAACCTGATTTGTACTGATTTGACCAAAATGTAGTATATAGTAGTATACAGTTGACAAACAAAAGCAAAATCTGCAATATGCTAAAAATACTAATAATACTGATTTGTAAAAAATCTCCAGTATCCATTAGACCAGTGTATCTCGCCTACTGTGTCAAGGGGGTGGAGTGGTTACCGTTGTTTTTTAGAGGCGTTTTGAATTACTGCTCTTATGTAATCTATTGTATCTACAGCGGTCACAACAACTGGACAACAATTCATAATTGTGACTGGGCTACACATGTTAGATAGGCGCTACCTATCTCTCAGGTAAATGTTCATCTTTGGGATAATCCTGTAATTATATATATTTTTTTCTGCATAAGGGAATACTACACAGTAGCCCTTGTCGCTGCTGTTGTTTCCGTGGATTTTATAAACTGGTAACCGACTAAGCTTGGCCTAGTATACTGCAAATTAAGTCAATGAAAAAAGTATGTAGTACATACAGCATGCTGCAGTATTATTACTGCCATAGTTTTATCTTTATTATGCCAACACTGACAGCCCATATTACAAGGTGAGGTTAATGACCTAACAGACAGCTCTATGGGTTATATTTTATTTGAAATGTTCCAGCATTATCAGTGGTTCATAGCTAAATATGATAGAACAAAGTCTAATTATGCTGTATACCCTTAGAAATCATTAAGAATATATAAATTTGTTAGAAAGTCTTTATCCTTATATTTCAGGAATTGTTTTTCATTCACTGTACGGTTTAAAATGTGTGCATTGTCCCAAGTGCTTTCTGTGTTTACAAAGAACAGGAAATACTTTTGAATTTTCTCAACAGCAACTTTGTGTTTTAACTTGCAGTATTTCTCAAGCGTCAGAATTTCAAAAATATTTAGCAAAAGATACGAGACAGGAAATATGATTTCAGTCTTGAACAAGCAGCAGCGGCTGTGTCAGATCAGTGCTTCCATCAAGCATCTGTTAAGTGGCCCTACATTTAAAATCACTTGTATCTCCACCTCTCCGCTGCAGGACTGGCAGTAGGACTCGGGATCGGTGCCATTGCAGAAGTGGCGAAACAGTCATTTGGAGGCAAACAAAAAGGAGGTAAAAATATCCTTCTAGTCACTCCTGTTGGTCTCTCCTCCCATCCTGTAAAATAGCTTTTGGTCCAGTGCACACTTGGCAGATCCAGCAGACAGATGGACAGCTGGTCGGCCCTGGAGAAGTTTCTCATGTGTCAGCACCTGCCAGACAGTGGCCAGGCATTAAATCAAACCTGTTAACAAGAACTTAAAGAGAGGCTTCAACATGTGTTAAAGGAACAGTGTTTAATGATGTACCACTGTCAGTTTTTATACACTGCTCTCTACAGTTAGCTAGTGGGGGCTGGAGCTTGAAGATAATTGCTAAGACAAATGACTCTTGTTTTTGCCATTGTACCTCTAATATGTTGTGTTATCACTGCAAATAATCCTTCTGTGTGTGTGTCTGTTTTGTAGAAATGGGTGCCCTGTTAGACTCTCCTCTCCTGTCAGAGGCCAATGCTGAGAGAATAGTCAACACGCTGTGCAAGGTCCGTGGGGCCGCACTCAAGATAGGACAGATGCTTAGTATTCAAGGTACGCACTGTAGCAACAGCATCACTGCAAAATGGTGTTCATACGTCCTCACTGTCACTAGATTCCTAGGCAGTGAAAGTGTTTTTTTTTTTTTCTGACAACTTCTTATTTTTTCTTCAGACAACTCCTTCATCAACCCCCAGTTGCAGAAGATCTTTGAAAGGGTCCGACAGAGCGCAGACTTCATGCCTGCCTGGCAGATGAATGTAGGCATGAACTGACCCTCCTGTCCCTGACACCTAGATATTTTGTGGACTAGCAGTAATTAGTATCAAAAACCTTAACGGAAAAGAGCTGCAGTGTGTTATTCTGACAAGATGAGATTACAGTAAAGATAGTTTCACCAAGTGCAGCTTAATGTGTGTAGATTCGGAAGGTCAGATCCATGTTCTTAAGGCTGGTCTTAGAGTAAAAACCTTTTTCATGCGGGTCTGATTGTGTAGAAAGTTCTGGAGGAGGAACTGGGGCCAGGCTGGCGAGAGAAGCTATCGTCCTTTGAGGAAAAACCGTTTGCAGCAGCATCCATCGGCCAGGTGCATCACGGGGTGTTAAAAGACGGTAGAGAAATCGCCATGAAGATCCAGGTATTGAAAGACACTCTATTTCTGTCTCCCTCACAGCCTCACAGTCTTTTGTCTGGCTGCATTGATTTTATCTGTTATTCCCATATTCCTCCCAGTACCCCGGAGTGGCAGAGAGCATCCACAGCGACATAAACAACCTCATGTCAGTTCTGAAAATGAGCGTGGTCCTGCCAGAAGGTAACAATTACATCAGTGTTGTTGTTTTTTTGTGGTTGTTTGTCCACTCAAGACTTCTGCTCAGTAAAATTAGCTATTTCTTTGAAGTCTGATGCATATATTTACACATGAAAGGCTCAGACAGTTAGCATATTTAATGTTAAATGATCTGATTTAAATTTCTCAGCAGGAGTTGGCCTGAAAAAGTCTTATTTAGTTTCTGCTTTATGATGCAGAATTTAAACATATTGAGGATAAGAAATACAAATTCTAAGAAAAAACATAGCTGTTATCCCTCTTGGACTGTCCCCCATCATTAAGTTGGGGGGTAATTATAGATGCCGATTTGTTTCTGTTGTGTTCTCTTTCATTCAACTAATTTCACTATTACAGTTTATAGCCAGGGGGTGGTGCTGTAGTTTCAGGTCAAAACTGGGTGACACGTTTGTTGCTGGGTGACAATGGGGACATCTGCATCATTTATAAAGATGTTACTTGTTTCCTTTTTATCCCTAAGCCTACATGTTTAACATCAGTTGAAATAATATTAAGCTATTTATCGTTAACTAATGATTACTGTTTTACGTGGTATCTAGTTGTGCACACACTGTAGTCCCAATATACACTATAGGGATAGTTTGCTCATTTGCACATATTATATTGTTGTGTTTAAAACTGAGTGTATGTTTTCTGTAGTTTTTTCCCGCTGAGTTTTACACCATTTATTTTTCCACAGGTCTGTTTGCAGACAGCAGCTTAGAGGTTCTTCAGAGAGAGCTGGCATGGGAGTGTGACTACAAGAGGGAAGCAGAGTGTGCCAAGAAGTTCAGGTAAGTTTATGTGGCGTATTTAACCATAAAGCCTCCTACACTGAAGCCCTTTGGTGAGCCTTTACGCACCATTTAACTGCGCAGAACAGAAACCAGGTTAGCTGTTAAATTTCTGGATGGTTACTCTCGATCAAGTTTCACTAAATACACGTATAACCCTTTAGTTTACTTTTTAAAAGTTTTTTAAAGATTTGGTTTTGTTTACTTTTATACTGACAACAACATCAGGTTAAGTCACAATATTTAGTCTTTGTTGACTGTTGTTACGTGCACATTTGATAACTGACTCCAGATATATCACGATGGGTTGTCTGTATTGTCTTTTTCCGTGTGTGGCCTCCAGGTCCCTGTTGGAGGGAAATGAGTTTTTTCAAGTCCCCAAGGTGATTGATGAGCTGTCAGGCCGCAGGGTGCTGGCCATGGAGCTCGTTCAGGGAGTCCCACTGGACTGTTGCGTAGACCTGGACCAGGAGACCAGGAATGAGGTATGAGTTGACTCAACGGGCACATTGATCCTATTTGTCATTGAACTTCCTCAATGTCACTGAAATGTCAGGAGTATGCTGGAGACAGGGAGAGTCAGGGAATTTGGCTAATTCAAACACACAAACAACAAAGAACAAAACAAAGGTGAGCTGGTAGTTTAAATGGTATTTGCACAGTTATAGACATTATCAAATATTGTTATTGGACTATGTTGTGATTCTCAATTTAGTTTTTACTTTACCAAAGCTATATCACCTCAGGAAACCAGTATCAAGTAATAAAAGTGCTGCAATCTGTCAATATATGTAAAGTGAAAGAAAATGTCAATGACATTTTACTTAAGGGCCATGGTGAGAATGCTGCATAGGACACTATGGCTGATAGACACAGTCTGGCTCTAACAAGAGCTATAGCATGAAAATATCACATTGATGATGGTAAAGTAATTTCCCCCTGGGATTATTAAAGTATTTCTGATTCTGATTCTGATAACAACATGGCAGTGAACACAAACCTCTCCTCTTTCCCCGTCTCCAGATCTCTTACAAGATCCTCCAGTTGTGTCTCAGGGAGGTGTTTGAGTTTAGGTTCATGCAGACGGATCCAAACTGGGCCAACTTTTTCTACAACTCAGACACCAACAAGGTGAGCCTGGCAGTGAAGTTGTAAATGAACACAGAAAGGGATGCCATGGTGACCAAATGTTTAATTGTACCAAAGAAAAACATCATATGCAACAGATGTATAACACACTTATCTTGTCCGTAGATTGTTCTGTTGGACTTTGGAGCGTGCAGGAGCTACCCAGAATCCTTCACAGATGACTACATACAGGTATGATGAATCTAAAATTATAAGACACCCACTAGTGAATCACACAACATGATTTATGCAACAAGATTTCTGTGAATAATTAAGAATTCGTGTCTTGGGCTAAATTTTGCAACAGCCGGGTAAAAACGATCTCACACTGTAACACACACGTGTGCACACATTCCCTAACTTGCAGCTACTTCAGTCTACCCGCACCTTTAAAGTGGAGCTCTTTAAATAAACATGATTACCAAATCCATATCATCATTTTGTGCTCATGTTCAGGTGGTGCACGCAGCTTCTGTTGGTGATCGAGCCACTGTTCTTTCCAAATCGAAGGACCTGAAATTCCTGACAGGCTTCGAGGCCAAGGTAAGGTATTTTAGTCTCTGCTGCTGTGCTCATTTATTTTTAACATGGTTTATCCTCCTCTGTCTCTTCTGTCTTCTCTCTGTTGTTTATTTGTGTCTCTTTCTACCTCAGTCTCACTCCCTGTGCTTGATGTGCTTTCCCTGCAGTCATAGTGCCTGATCTTTCTTTTTGGGGGATATTTCTTTGCTGAAGAGGTGTTTTCAGCCCAACTAATAATAGTTAAAATAAAAATGATTTACTTTGTAATTGACAAGAATTATATCTTTAATAAGTTGTTAATTGTTGGATGAACTATGCACAGTGTGGTTTTTATTCTGCGTGTTTGCCTTATCTTAAATCTTAATCCTAGTATTATATCAAATGTGACTGTATAGAGGACAATAGCCAGAAAAGGGAGAACACATAAAAAACCCAATTTATTCTAAGTTTTCGACATGAAAATGTGTACATATACCATAAAGTTGTATATACAGTATGGCTACATAAGACATAACGTGCACTTCAGGTTATAACATCTCCAGTAAGCATTTCTTCAAGCACTCAAAAATGCAACTGAAAGAGAAACTGCAACGTAATCCTCCGGGGGAATTGCACACCGTCAAAGTACGCCCACTAGAAGTGCTTGTATATGCAACTGACAGGCTCAGATTCTTATAAAGTCACACAATAACGAACAACCAGTGGAGGCAGCGGTAGGCCAGCAACTCCCATGTTCTGCAATGTAAAATGACTTTAAAAGGGCTTTAAAGAGAGTGAAAGAACGATTAATTTTGTTTTTGTTTTTTACAAAAAATTCTACTTTACAGCTGTCAGCTTCTATATTGAAATCTTAGTTCAGTTGATTATCATGCACACAGACAGCCTTTATAACACCTCTCCATGCTCCCTACCAGGCCTTTGCGGATGCCCACGTGGAGGCGGTGATGATCCTCGGTGAAGCCTTCGCGTCTGCGGAGCCCTTCGACTTCGGCACCCAGAGCACCACCCAGCGCATCCAGAGCCTCTTCCCCGTCATGCTACGCCACCGCCTCACCCCTCCACCCGAGGAGACGTACTCCCTGCACCGCAAGATGGCCGGCTCCTTCCTCATCTGCTCCAAACTGAGCGCTCGCATGCCGTGCAGGGACATGTTCATGGATGTGTACAACAACTACAACCAGAGGAGGCAGGCGGCTCAGGCAGCACAGGCCACTGCTTAGACCCTCAGGGACTAGTTTAATACCTAAATCTTCATAGGACTTTTTCAGAGTGGGCTGCTAAGTAAAGGGACAGAAAAGATGGAGTCTTCCAGTGGAGATGTGGGATCAGACGTACATAAGACTTTACACTATGTCAATATGTAACTATGACAACGTGCTCCAATGAGGACCATGGATGTGCTTGACTCTCTATGCCTGTCTCCTTTCAGTGCTACAGTCCATCAGTGTGAGGGTGTAATGACTGGACGACCCCACCCCAACATGTCACCCATTGGGGCTCGACTCTCACACACACGAATACTTTTCATCACTTCGACAAAGAGACAGATAGTCGTGTCATAACAAATATTATGCTGAACCCCAAATGGGTTTATTACTGATTAATTCTTTATTAATTGAAGATTATTTAATTGATTTTGGGTGTGTGTGAATGATCATATTGGCTAAATGGTTACATCTCTCTGTCACAGCAAACACTACACACTGCTGCTGTTCATTCAAGACAGCTTTTATGAACAGGAAAGATGAATATTCCCTCTGTGTGCTTCTGGCTAAAATGAATCCACTCTGACAGCAAGGTCCAACATATTTCTAAGAGAATGGGTATCTTCTGTCTTAAGGACACATAATAAGCCCTGCATTGCCTAACTGATCCTGCCAAGTGTGTTCTTTTGTTAGAAGGACTTTGTGTGCTGTTGCATGATGAGTTGGCGAATGAAGCCTTCTCCTAAATGGGATGACTGGCAGACTATACGAGCAGATTATCAGAGGAATTAGGGAAGACAGTCTAATGGAGTCCCAGTGAGTAATGGCCTTGCATTATAAAATATATTGACATAAAACAACATCAAGTGAAATACTGTCCTTTTTATTGTTCCTTTATGAGGTATGTGTACTGTAACCTACAAGGCAGTGTGCTGTGTGCTTTTTATGAAATAAAATATGAGAAAGATTTATTTGTATCACAATTGAGCTTTATTGGCAGGTGTCAAGAAGAGGCTATAAGCCAAAGACTTTCTTCACTCTGTATTGATCTTTCCATTTCAGTTTTGGTCCTCTTTGGGAAACATCATTGACCGGAGGCCATGTTTGACCTCGTTCTCCACCTACACAGTTCTTGTATTGACCGTTAAAGCATCATGGTACAATATTTTTGGCTCACAAAATGTAAGACTTAAGTTAACGGTGGCATTGATGGGTCTATTTTTGTGTCATGGCTGCCTATTTTTCCTCAGTCAAGCTGTCACAGCCCTACAGAACTGTCTGCAGGCTGCTCGCTAAATGTTATTGTTCACACCACAGTAGCTGGGATGTGAGGCTTTCACTGACATCGTATAAACCTGATGGAGAAAGATGCAGCCTTTTACTGTACCTCCATTAGCACTTGCTGTGAGTGTCCCTCTGAGCTCTGTTACATCCTGTATAGTACAGCTGCTGAGCTGTTCCTACAGTGAGGCTGGCTCTGATACACTACATCAAAATTACTGTTTATTTTTCAGAGTTTGGGAATCGGCCACAGTTAATAACTGCAGCACATGTTGAGAGAAGAAAAAGCACATTCTTCTCTTGTAGTTTCACGCAATGGAAAGTTGGAGCGTTTCTCTGCGTGTGAGGAGCAGCTGGCTGCAGTTTATTGGAGGAGAAAAAGCTCTTTTTGGTCCCAGTCTCAAGACATTTCATTAGGGCTAACACTGAAATGGTGAGGGGTTCTTTATTTCTACCAGGACCAGTTAATTTATGAAGTTAACGCATGGTGCATATCAGGAGACACATTCTGGGGGAATGACTGTGTTTACATTATGTTTTACAGAAACCTCTATGGTTTAATTGTGAGTGTTGCTGAATGAAAAATAATGTGATGTTGTCAGAGTTAGAATCTACTGGAGACCACAGTGTGAACATTAAGGGACCGTAAGTCTCTCTGCACAGTAGGCTTTTACTGATTATATTATATAGGCTGAACTGGCTTAATTATATTACAGCTTTACTGTGTGTTTTCTCTCTTCAGCTATTATGATGATTACTGGTAATAGTAACCTTATGTTTGCTTGTTTTTCATTTTTCATTTTATTTGATTACCTTTTAAGTTCATCTAGTTTCACTTTGACATGTATCAACAGGGCTGTCTTTTCCAACTGCTGGACACAGGATGTCTCCTACTTCTCTGAAAAGTCCATTCTCAGAAGAGGTGACCTAAAGGTTTCAAGTTTCCACAGCACACCTGTGTAAGTTGCATACTGGAACGTGACTGGCTTCCAGGCTACTTGTGATGTCACAAGATCCTGCTTGTACATACACGTCCTAAAGTGAGATTCAAGGTGAGCACAGAGAAACTTTCCTTCTAACAGTCTTCTAGTATCAAACTAAAAAAAGGAAACTTTAAATTTGACTAGATTCAGAGCAAAAAATCCCCCAAACAATTTTATTCTTCAGTGTGCTTGATGGCTTTTGAAACAACATCTCTGAATCAATATACCCTTGGCCTCTGTTGGGAAGAAACATTAACAGTGAATATTATTGACAGTTTATTGAATAAATTAAATATGAACAATGCAAATAAAATAAAATAACTCCTTTATATTCATACCTTCAATGTAAAGTGATATCCAAACTGGACACTGACTCAAGACTGAACCATAAAGAGCTTGGCTTTATTCCATTATTGTTTATTGAATGCATTCAGCCTGTGTAAAAGTCGTCCTGCTCACTGTAATGGCCTAAGGACTTGAGTTCAAGTCCACAGCGGCATCTGACCTGGCAAAGTACCCTTGAGCAAGGCACCTGTTCCCTGTAAGCTCCCTGTTGTTGTTCAGCCAGTAGCTGCTATTTCCCCACAGGGATGGCTGGAGTAACTCACTACCACAGGAGCTAAGCCTCCGCACGGTGGCGCAGTGGAGCGACTGAAACAGAGACCCTGCTGTTTTATTTTTTTCTCTTCTGGAAAACATCAATGGGGAGAGTGGATTTGCATGTCCGGCCGCCTGTGCCAATGGGCGCACTGGGAAGGCTGGGTTAGCGGGTGGAGCCGGAGGAAGCAGCCCAGTAAGTGCACAGTTAACAACCAAAGCATCCGAGATTACTACAGATACACCAATTCCACCGAAATCTCCCTTGAATCGCTGTTGTGAACCTTTTTATTTTGTGTTTGTGTGTGTGTGTGTGTGTGTGTGTGTGTGTGTGTGTGCAGCGACCAGGTTGATCTACGGCTCCACATCGCCTCCACACATCGCTTTCACAGCGCGGATGAAGAACATTTTGTGAATTTTTGCCATCTGCAGATAATTCTCGTGTATAATATCTTTCTGTCCGGGGTCCTGGATTTATACAGAGGAGGAGCGGGGAGCCGATCATCCGTCGTTCTCTTGGGTGAGTTCACTGGTCTCCCGTCCGGTCTGGCATCCCTGTTTACTGACACTTCCAGGGTAATGTGGAGACCCCGGTAAATGTCTTTATAATGAATGAATCCGCGATCAAGGAGCGCACGATCCTCTCAAAACGACGTTGGATCCTTGATCTGTGAGTTGCGGGGTTAATTCTAATGTTTGGATACAACTGCAACAACGCGTTTGGATACGGATCTCGCCCACCGGGCCCTTAATATGTGAAATGAATGAAATGTGGCAGCTCCAGCCTTTGATAGCAGGTTTACATCCCTGATCCATAACGAAAGAGGAATAAGTATATTCTAGCAGGACTCTGATCGGCTCTTCCACAAAACTACCGGCACACGGATGTGGATTATCTTCTAGGAATACTCCAGTGATGCCATAGTGTTAAATAAAGCTGTAACTTTATAGGCCTGCTATTGAAATATAGCTCCTTATTATAAGCTTACGACACCGACTATTGCCAGGAATGTGGGTTATTACGTCATTATTGGCGTGGGAATGAGATAATGTGATATCGATTGAGCTGTAAAGAGTCACATTGATTGCTGGGTAATTATTTGTTCATAGGTTGTCAGGTATTTTCTCCAGGAACAGCATGGCCGCAGTTGAAACACGCGCCCTGAGTTTGAATATGTATGATCATAATTCTACCTGTCTGCAGCACTGTGCATGTCTCTCTCCATTGCATCATGCTGTGAGGTCAGTTGTGTCTTCCGGGCTTGGTTGCATCATTTATAAACTTGTTCAGGGGCTTATTCTTTGTTGGAAAAAGTGCTACAGATTCCTGTGATCTCTCCCACACTTCTTGTTTCCTGACATGAATGGGGGATTCATAGAACTGGTGAAGAGCAAAAAAAAAAAAAAAAAAGGAAGGGCATTCAAATGACTTAGAGACTGCGGCTGTAATGCACACACTCCCTTACACACTTGGCACATGCCTTCCTATACAGGCCCGCTAAGTGCATGCGGCTCTATTGTCTGTGGAGCTCCATCTGTTCCATGACATGGCATTCCTCAGACAGCCAGTCATGCTGTTAGGGGGTGGTCTACCCTGACCCACTGCCTCTGAGAAAGAGAGAGAGAGAGAGTCATATGGGATGTATTAAGAGAGTAGGTACAGGGCTCACGGTGTCTCAGCCCACAAGCCCTAGACCACCTGCACAGACAGCTCCCGGGTTTGACCCAGGATCGGGGTTAGTGAAGAACTAAATTTGGCTTGATTAGGCTGGAGGATGGCTAGGTTTGGTCTGGAGCATGAGCTCCCTTAAGGGCAGCTTTGGTCTAGAACTTGGGTTAAATGAAGGCTAGGTTTGGTCTAGAGCTGGGGCTAGTGGTTGGCTAAGAGTAGACTAAAAATTGGGGATTGAGCTACATTCATCTATTGCTGAGGCCAAAGCTTGGACTAGAAGTGGGCTAGATTTGGTTGGGGGAGAATGCATGGGTCTAAAGGAAGGCTAGGTTTATTCCATACCTATGGCTTGTGAGAGGACAGGCCTGGTGTGGTGCTAAGGGCTAGATGAAGGGTATGTTTGATCTGGGCTAAACAGACTAGATTTGGTCCAAAGTATGGGTTAGATATACAGAAAGGTTTTGTCTTGAGCTGGAGCTGGGGCCAGTGAAAGGCTAGGTTTGATCAAGGGGTGCGGCTAAGGGAAGGCAATGTTTGGTCCAGAACTTGGGCTAGAGGGAGGCTAGATTTGGCCTGGAGCTGGGGATAGAGGAAAGATAGAGGTGCTAGAATTTCCAAAGTCCAAACCATTTGGATACAAATGGACTCTGATGTGGCTAATCTCTGTTGCAACTCAGTCATCACAACTAGAACATAATTACACCACCTCAATCTACACAGCGGGACACACACATACACACTCTCCATTTCCCCTTAGACCATTTCCCCTCTTCCACTGCTCTGATTGCTGCATTAGGACTTGGCTGCCTTTTGTTGTCCACTCACACACACATGCGTGCACACACACACACACACACACACACACACACACACACACACACACACACACACACACAAGGGGGAGGGTTGGCGCAGCTGAGACCACAATACAACAGGGATCAAAGGTCATCCAGCTGGCCAATCAGGGTGCTGTCTAGGTTGGCTGGTGGCAGAGGAGGGCGTTGCCCCCCTTTGTGCTGGTCAGGGTGGGTCTGCTAAACAAGCGGCTCCACTTCCAGCCCTGGCCCTGCTACTGCCGGTAGCCACACTGTGCTTCCTCAGAGCAAGTCACACAAACCTCTGGACACTTTGTTAGACTGCAGGTCAGGGGCTTGTTCAGTTTAGAGGAACCTTTATTGATTTATGACTGGATTCCCGGTTCGTAATCAGCTGTTTCTTGAAATCTTGAACCGTTGAGCCTTTATGGAGAAAGAGTACAAGCACAAAAAGTTAGGATTTATACTATAAGCTATGTATATAGCTGCACCGAGGTGTATTGACTACTCTGTCGCACTTTGGCTGAAAGTGTTTAGAGGACTTACAGTGTTCTGCTGGTACTGTGCTTGCATATACAGTGCATTTGTAATACGTGTGTGTGTGTGTGTGTGTGTGTGTGTGT